TGAATTGTGATCTGATCACTCAAACCACTTGCTGCAGTGGTCTGGGACACATTTGCCAAGACAACCAGCAGCTGAATATACTGTTTCATTTGATAACCACAATATCCCCAGACTACCTTTAAAAAAAAGTTTTAAAAAAGTAATATTCACTATCTACATCTTTTGGACCTTCTTGTACAAACATACATAAATGTACTTTACCAAAACTGTCAACGTATATAAAGATGGACGATGTGACAGCTCTCCAAAAGTGAAGCTAAAAAGTCTTGATCGCCCCCTGGTGGCTGAGTGCAGTACAGGTCATAAAGCCTGCTGCCTCCATCTTCCCAAAGATGGTTTCTGATATTTTAGGTAGTTCTTATTACACTGATCAGTTTGGTTTTATTTACCTATTTTTACTTTTACTTTCTGAACACAGTGTGTGTAGTAAATTATAGCTTAACTAATAATAATCTTGACTGGTGCCATGTGAGCAAAATGCAGAATACCTACCTTTTCATAGTGCCAAAATATTTGGCACTTTGTTAACGATCACCCTTGTGCCCAATGATTTGTTGGTCAGTTCATCAACAAAGTCATGTGATGGAGTGTGTATCCCTTGGGTTCCGAATTCTATTGTGTTTTTTCACACCACAACTCCTCTGCTCCCCCATCTGGCATGGTTATCATTAAATGATCGGACCCCAATCTGCTGTGAGCATACTGGCATTTGCTCACAGTGGCGTTTTTGATGGCAGTTCAACAGTATTTGCAAATGTGCCAAATTCCATTTTGTTTGGAGTACACTGCCAGCCTGAGAGAGGAAGGAAGCAAGAGCATGAGAGTGAATAGTTGAATAATGAATCAGAGAGAGAGAGAGAGAGCCCTGCCTCTCATTGGCAGGACCAGGCTACCCATCCAGGCCTGACACCTCATCTCAAAGCATGATGGAAAAATACCAGTGACCACAGTGTGTACGTGTGTGTGTCTGCTGTGAGCAGACAGTGTTTTTACTACAAATGCCCTTACAGCTCACATGGCCCATTGATAGATTATTGGAACATGTCTAGAATTTCTGTGTTAGCCTCTACAAACCAACAACTCCCCTTAGGGACTGACTGGCCACCCCCTCCAATCCCCTCTCTTAATGGCATCAAAAGACAGTGCTTAAACACATACTAAGAGGTAATGAAAAAGGCTTATGAAGTACAGCCACAGCAACAAAGTAAGAATGAACACAGAACAATGTCCCCAAGGTGGATTCTTACAAATGTGTTGACATTTTCTACAAAGGTTAAAGCTGCAGTAGTTTTATAAAAATATTTTGCCATATTTGCATATTTTACTGTGTCCTGACAGTAGTA